ATCAGCTCCTGGCCTAGTTTTCACAGCTGATATTGAGCTTCTCCAGCGGTTCTTTCCACATATGTAATTGATCTGATTCCTATGCATACCATCAGGTTGTTGTTGTGTATTGTTGAGTCAGAACCTACCCATAGCTGACCCTCCGGCGGGTTTTTAGTGGCAAATTAATTGCACAGGAGGAGATTGTCCAGCCTTCTCCCGCGTTGCAGCTGGTAGATCTGAACCACGTACTTTCGGGATTGCAGCTTCTTGCCAGCAGGCCACCTTTAAGAGGTAGTAAATTTATGTTAATGGGGAAAAGCAACTCAAAAAAAGAGCATGATGATGTTTACACAAATAAAAAATTAATGAGGAATCAGGGACTAGTGGTGCTTCATCCCTCTGCAGAATATTTTTCCTAATAAATCTCTTTGCATAAAGAAATGCAATCAGTGTCACTAAATGTTACATGTTGAAACTGCTGCATTAGTGCATGTTTTGTGATGTATATTTCAAAAACAAAATTAATAAGATCATATTTTTTTAAAGTCTATCAAGAATGTATAAAATTAGTAAATCAGTCAGTAGTATGTCATTAGAAATATGGCAATAAATAATAGAAGAAATTGCTTATAATTGACAGCATTTACCATTAATGGGGAATAGCACAGAACGGTGAAAAAAGGGAAAAGATTGTTTTTCATCTTGAATTTCTGAATATTAAATATTTAACTATGTGTATGTGTTTTCTATTCGTTATGTGTATTTTCATTTAAAATTAAAAATCGGTTCTTAATTTAATTTCAGTAATGAAGAACTATATTAGGGCCAAAAGGTCAACTGACAAAATGGTAGAAGGAAACAGAAACTATACTAAAAATACCTGGAGACATCGCAGGATATTCTGCGCCCCAACTTTCTTTTTGCTTGGCTGTTTGGTTGGGAAGGCCATAGGCAGTGATGGCACCCAGCCGGAACAGTATGATCTTGAAGCCTCACTTCCACAAAGACTGGCAGTAGCCCCTGGCCAGGTGGCCATTCAGGAGACGCAAGGCCTTCCAGGTGAAAGCTTCAGGCTCCATCCAACCCATCATGCGGTGCCCGAAGGTGCAGTATCACACCAAAGTGAGAGCTGGCAAGGGCTTCAGACTGGAAGAACAGCATCCACAAAAAGGTGACCAGACCATCAGGATCTCCGTGGACCCATGAAGGAGGACCAAGTCCACCGAGTCTTCAGAGCTCCACTGTGAAGCCACTGGAGTACTGCTCCAAGCTCATCCTTTTCCCACAGAAGCCTTCTGCCCCCAAGAAGGGGGAGAGTTCTGCTGAAGAACTCAACTGGCTACTCAGCTGATGCCCTTCAGGATGGTTTATAAGAAGGAGAAAGCCTGGGTCATCACACAGGAGGAAAAGTTGTTCAGGATTCGAGCCAAGAAGGCCAAGGAGATCCCCAAGCAGGATGTGGAGAAGAAAATGTAAACTGTTCCAAGGGACCTTTAATATAAACTGTGAAGCTTCAAAATAAATAAAAGTCCTGGAATGTCAGAACCCTTGAAGACTGGCTTTTCTAGCAATTGGTTTGGTGGCCTGGTGGCAAGAAGCTGTACTGCAATCCCAAAGGTACATGGTTCGAATCCACCAACTGCTCGGTGGGGAAGGATGGGCAATTTCCTCCCACAAGATTAACTGAAAAACTGCTGGAGGTCAGTTATGGGTTGGTTCCAACTTGATGGTACACAACAACAAGAAGAAGCCATTGGGATAGCGCCTGTGGAGAGGCCATGGGCTCTAGCTACCTTAACTGCAGACACATGGTCTTGCAAATCATCAACAGCTGAAGGACCAACATAAGGGACCACTTTCCACACTGTGAGAAATGGTGGAGGAGAGACTGTAGCCCTGCTGTGAAGAGACTGTGACAAGATATAACCAGAGGAAACCTGGATATGGAGCCATAATTACAGGTTTTGGTTTTGGATAATTGGATGAAAAATTGACATTTAACTGCTTTGAGATAAAGTTTGCTGAATGGCTGAGGAAACCAGAGGCTCTTCGCATTTGTGCCACTGAACTGAACCTGGACTTTAACTAATTGAGGAATTGTGCCTTATTAATCTGGTTTGGTACCGTTAGACTAAACCTGGACTTGCACTGGGTAATATTTTTGTCTCTTCCACTTCCCAAACTATCTCCCTAATAAATTCCACAACTGTGAGCAAAATCTGAGTCAGTTTGCAATAAACATTGAACACAATGATAGGTAAAAGAAGGTACAGGAGCATGTGGGATAGCATGTCTTACCACATAACTATTTGTATAATACTATGGATTGAAGCTCAACAATAAGAAAACAAAAATTCTCCCCACTGGGCTGAGTGGTAGCATCATGATAGACATGAAGAGATTAAGATTGTTAATAGCTTCAGTTTGCATCGCTCCATAATCAACACTCTTGGTACCAGCAGCCAAGAAATCAAAAGATGAATTTCATTGGAAAAATCTGCTGTCAGGTATACCTCTCCAGAGTACTGAAGAGCAATGATGTCAGTCTGGAGACTTTGGTGCACTTGATCCAGGCCATGGTCTTAGTAATTATTTGCTATGTATCAGAAAGCTGGACAATAACTAAGGATGATATTTATGCTTTTGAGTTATGGTGCTGGAGAAGAGAACTGATTATACCATGAACTGCTAGGAGAACAAATGGGTTCATCCTGGAGGGGATGAAACCAGGCTGCTCTTTGCAGGCAAAGATTATGAAGCTCCATCTGACATACTTTGGGTGTATTCCCAGGAGAGACCTGTCCTAGAAGACGGACATCATGCTTGAAAGGGTGGAGCGACAGTGCAAGAGAAGAAGATGCTGGATGAGATGGATTGACTCAGTGACTGGAGGAATGGGGTAGGTGTGTCAGAGACCAAAGGTAGGCAGGTTCAAGATAGAACAGGGTTTAGAGCTGTTGTGCATAGTGTTACTATGAGTCGCAAGTGATTTGATGGCACATAACAACACAACAACAATGGATACTGAGCTCTGATGGCCTAGCGATAAGAAGCTGTGCTGCGAGCCTGACGGCATGCTCCTCTAATCCACCAGCTACTCCACAGGAGAAATGGTCAACCTTTTCCAATGTGTTTAACTGCTTCTGAAAACCCACTGGAGGGTGAGCTATGGGTCAGTTCTGACCCAAAAGCGCACAACAACAACATGGATATGAGTGATTGGGAAAGTTCCCCTTTATGAAGCAAGTAGAGGTCAGACTCGGTCTTCCCCACGTTGCATCTGCCTTCCCCTTCTTTCTCCTCCTCCCCCACCAAAATACATCTGCCCTGCCCCCCCCCACATTGCATTTGCCCCAATACAGTACCATAAGACAAACTCATTTTTAGTAGGGTCAGGTAGACTCAGTTGTGCTCAGCAATAGTTATATCAAGTTCTGAAGCACTATTGATACAATAAGGGACATCACAGCACATCGTGTTCTCCACTTTTTTTAATAGGGAAAGTATAATGCATTTTGGTAATATCAAAATAAGATTAAAATAGTAAAGATTCATCACATAAAGAACTGAACTTTTGATATTATGAATATAAACACATTAGTTCTTTGAGGCTACCACATCAAGTTTAGGCAAGAAATCTTTGTGGCATAAAAAGTCAGATTCTACATAAGAATTACTGAGATATTAACAATTTCATCAATTTCAAACTTTTGATCACCTTCTTCATTCCAAGATCCATCAAACCATATTTCTTTAGATTGCCTGGGCAGGTTTGGGCCAAGATCTCGTCAGTACATAGTCTGCCAATGATGTAGGTAAATAAGACAGAGGGATGAAGAAAAAGCGAGCATTCCAACCAGCTGAATAGCGAGTTCGAGGATGCATGGATGTCAGAGCATGTTCCATGCAGTCTGTGACCAAGTTTAGGTTGGTGCTACATCTCTGCAGCCCTTGTTTGGCCTTGTTGTAATCTGTCAACAAAAGGAGAAATTGTGGTCAGCAATCTTACTCCTCAAGTTTTTATTTTAAGGGTCTTACTGCACACAATCCCAGGTATCTGTCATTGTTAGTTTCTGTAGATTCTAACTCATGGTAACTATACGTGCAGAACAGAACAGCTTTGTATGTGACATTTTGGTAGCAGACCTCCAGGCCTGTCCTCTGCACTACCTCTGAATGAGTTCAAACTCATTGTTCAACTACCCAGTAGTTGTACCCAGTAGTTGAACAATTAGCCATTTGTACCATTCAAGGATCCAGTCACAGAAATTAAACTAAGTTTCCTTTCTACAAAGACTAGACTAATCCCAAGGCCTGCACTTTTCCAACATGATTGCTCACCTACTTAGTGACTTGAGTTGGAAGCTACTCCCAGTTAACTCTATGCTGAGTTTCTAAGGCTCTAAGGTACTAAGTTTCTAAGGTACAAGATGAAAGTGTCCATCTTTCTCCCTCAAAGACATTGTAGATTCAAACCACCTGAGAAGCCTCTGGGTTAACAGTGCAACTTCCTACGGGTTCCCTGTGGACTGTGCCACCAGAACTAACATTTTAATTTCATTTTCTTTTCCTTCATTTTAACATAAAACCCAATTCCTCTTTTTAAAAAACTTCTGCATATATTTGAAACATAAATGTGTAAATCTACTTTTTTCAATTATAACGTTAACATTTTTTAAATAAAATTCATGTGTCATTAAATACAGCCATTTAAAGTACACTAATTAATCAGTTTTGCAACCATCACCATAATCTGAATTTAGATCATCACAACATTTTTAATCTTTCTTTTTATTTTTTATTTTATATTGTTTTGCTTACAAATTTTGTAGATTGTGTTTCACACTATTCTTCATACATATTGTGTTTCATACAATCATTCCCATGTGTAATGTTTTATAAAGTTAATCACCATTGGACCTTGCCCATTATTACTGTGGTTTACTTTTGCTGATTATTTCCTATCAGGAGACTAATACAATATGTGGTTCTTCATGACTGGCTTCTTTCATTGAGCATAATGTTTTCAAGCATGTACAAGTACTTCATTCCTTTTTACTGTGCATTATTATTCTATTGTATGGCTATATCATATTTTGTTTGTTCATTTACCATTTAATGGACATCTAGATTTTTTTTCCATTTGGGGGCTATTATGGATAATTCTGCTAGCAAGTGTAACTTTTATTCAAGAGTTGTTCGGTCACCTTTCCATGATTCCTATCTCTTCCCTCTATTGATAGTGACCCTCTCAGGCCAGAAGAAAGACTATTACATCAGAATCTTCTGTCTCCATAGTCCCTATCTCCTTTTATTCTAGACTGCAGCATTACCCAAAGTTAGTGTCAAGGCTGCTGCATCTACCTCAAGGCTTTTGTGTGAAATGGGAGGGAAAACACAGTTTATTTGATCTTGACAAGCTGCTGACATCTTTGTGTGAGGAAAAAGCAATCCTCTCCCTTAGAAAGTCAGTCTCATCCCAGGATGGATGGCTACTTCTACTAAGAAGACTGCCTTGCCTCCACCTGAAAGTTCTATCCCCCTGAAGGTCATCTGAATGATCTTTCTCAGATCCATATGGCTCATAGTGCATAGGTATGAGGTCCAATTTCTCAGAATGGCCCACCTAACCTGTTACAATTGAGTTGATACCAACATATAGAATATGTTCTCTATAGAACAGTGGAGAAATGCCCCCATAGGATTCCTAAAGGTATATCCTTTACAGAAGTAGACAGGCATGTCTTTCTACCACAGAATGACTGCTGGGTTTGAACCACATACTTTTTTAGTTAACAATCAAGTACTTAGCTATTGTGCTACCAAGGTCCCTAAATGGCCCATGAAACCTTGAAAGCCCAGCTTTCATCCACTTAACCTCTCCTACTTTAGACATTCCCTCCTCTTACAATAAGAACATGATTCTGAAGGCTTTAATCTAAAAGGCTTTTCTCATCTTTGGCAAAGTATCCAAAGGTGATGCTTCTCAAGTTCAGAGATTTCATGCCTCTAGGCACATAATTAATTCCTCCTTAGAGCTCAGATAGCCAAGCCCACAGGTCACAGGACAAACCCAGTCCCATGCTATGCTATCTAGATGGCCCCTTTTTCAACTGTGGCAGTGATCATCAAGTCAATGGTGAGGGCACTAGAAACAACTTTAATGTCCATCAACTCCTAGAGAAGGAGGGGCAATCTCCTGTACCAGTCAGATCTGATTTGATGGTACACACACAAAAAAAAATTTTCCTGGGAAGGCTGTATTCTCCGAAGACCTGCCATCACTCTTCACCAACACTCTTTTCTCATCTCATCTCATCTCATCTCATCTCATCTCATGCATGGTAGAAAGTACAAGAGACAATTCCTTATTAAATTAAAAAACTCACAAGCATCAAAAAATTGCTGTCCATAGGCCTCCTTGATATTTGTAGGGACTTCTTCCCAGGCTTGTGTCATTTTCTTTAACAATTGCTGCATGTCTGTCATTCCTGTTCTGAAGTAACCAGGTTCGATTATGCTGATTTTCACCCCAAAATGTTGAAGTTCTCACCTGAAACAAAGCACTCCAATTAACTCCTTTGATTAAAAGACACTATAATTGAGGCATTTGACTGTGTAGATCATAACAAACTGTGGTTGACTCTGAGAAGAATGGGAATCCCAGAACACTTGATCGTTCTAATGCAAAACTTATACTTGGACCAGGAGGCAG